TGTGGCACCAACCAGACTTGAAGAAGTAAAAAAATTGGAAAAGGAAACAGTGGAGAGAAGGACTACTATTGGGTTTAGGAAAATAAAGTTTGTGAATAATATTGAGTATGCGCAAGTTGTGTAAGCCTATGAGGTGCTTGAAATTATAAACAAGTATTTGCACATCACGAATCTAATCTGGACAAAGGAAATCGAGAATATGAGGTCAAGATTATGCTTTGTTGTTTATCTGATTTGGTTATGCCTTAGAATTTCATAAAGTTGGTCCTCCATTAAAGTAAGCATCCTCCATAAATATTTCTCTGTGTTGCCTGCTGGGCTAAGCTATCTGTATTGATCATTTTAATCCTCGGAAATTGTGTTAATTAGTATGTTTCATTGATTAAATATATAACATTCGAACATTTCCAATCCCATTGTTTGGTCCACTCTCTCCCTCGTTTTACTTATTTATTCAACAAGTGTCGTGTATAAAATTTGAAGTCAATATCTATATATTGTGTTGTTTACATATCGCTCGTTATCAACTTTAGGGGGACACCAAACAAATGAATTTGTGCAAAATAGGCAATTCTCATTGATCCATCGTGCAAAAAACTTTGGCATGCATGTTGAAGTTCAAATTTATGGCCTAAAAAACATAAATATGGTTCGTTCATGGGAAGTATAATTGACATTTGGTTGTAGACAAATTCAAAAGAGGATAGATAGATCGATGAAGATAGGCAACACAAGCAAGCACAGTGAGTCAGTGACTAGGAATATTTTCAAGTGATATTTGATGAGAAGAAGCAAATCTACATGTAGGACCCAACTCAACTTCTCAGTTACCTCTGTTCGACTTTTTGCAGTCAAAAGAAAGTGGAGTTTGCAAGAGTCATATATCATCAATTTATGCCTCAAGAACCCCACGAGAAAAGAAGGGCTCCCTGAAGGACCACGGACCGAAGTTGAACATATTTTCCATTATTCAAAGATTCAAGTTTTTGAAAAGGAAAAAAAAAATAAAGAAAATATAAAAGTCAAGAATCTTGAGACCTCCCCCACCCCACCCAAGCCAGTCAAAATGGAACTTCACCCAGTTAGATTACAGCATCGAATCCAATCATCTTGGGAGTTGTTTAAAACCAAGTGGGTTAGGTCCTCACCATCGCAGCTAGCCCACTAACTTACTTGTTTGTTCATTTGACCTTGCTTTCAAAGATTAGGGTAATCAAATCATCCAAATCTTTAAACTGAGGTTTTTTTCTTCACTTTAACGATTTGTTTTTAAGGAATGTAAAGTAATTTTCATTTGTCAACAACTTTAAGATTTTCAAAAGCAAAGTTGGAGTGTCTAAGCCTCAACCACCCTTGATGCGAATGAATTATATTTGATTGAAAATAACGGAACACCTGACAACATATATTTTTACATACCAAGAATTACGAGATCACTCTTTTTATTCAAAGCTGATTTTTCTTTTTCTTTCTAAATGAAGCATGGCTCATTATGGTACGTACGTAATACATAGTACACGATCGACTTGTGAAACTCATCCAACCAAAGTATAAACACCATGTGCTCAAACTTCCATGTAGGTTCGTGCACAAAGGTTAAATGAAGAGAAGACTTCCAACAAAGTTGGACTCAGCTAACTGGCTTTGGATTTACTGATACACAAGTTAATGCAAAACACTAACATATGTGCACAACATGCTCAATCCTTAACCATATTCTCGTGACGACCTATGATAAACGCATAGGTTTCATCGAAATGCCATGGATTTGCATTTGCTTCAAATATAAAACCTTGTGTACAAATTCTTAATCACTTAGCAATCTCCGCTTGATTAGAGCACGACCAATTCCTTTCTCTTCTCTGGCTACAAATTTTGTTTAGTCGACCACGTAAATAATCATATGGTATCAATTCGTTTGAGAAAAATAATGCGATTATAGTATTATAGTCTTTCTTGCATATGGCGTTCAATTAATTTCGTGTCCGTCTCTCGTTTTCGAAACATAAAAATATGTACAAGTTGCAAGTTGCATGGGATATGTTGATTACATAGTAATCATCGGCATATCCTGACCGGTGCATTAAGAAAATATTAATTATGAGCTGGTTTGTTCTACAAATAGTAATGCCACTAATATTATATGGTGAGGTTTGAATGCCATGGTGCAATTTTCCAACTTGGGAAATTTCCTTGAAGTTTGCCGGTGACCTACAAGATGCGTATACGCATATTTGATTTGCTGTTATAGTCTTCACACTTTGTAATATTCAAACCCTAATTAGGGTCACGCTTAGATTACATATCCTCCCCTTTTCGAAATTAAAATATTCTTTTGCAATTTTTAAGGTTTTTTTGCTTGTTTTCTTCTAGCTTAAGTCCCAAGAATTGTGGTAGTGTTTGACAGAGATCAACCAACTCCCCGATAAGCTTTACCTAAGCACATTGATTAAGTATGGAGATTAAAATAAAAATTATCCAGCCAATATTTGAATGTTATTATAAAAGTTATGAAATCTTTTCTTTCTTTCTTTTTTTTTTAATTTAAATTTTTTAAAAGAAAAAAAAATTGTATAGCCTAGCTTAGCTTAGTGGGTGAGTGAGTCCATGGCTTTACTTTAGCGCAACACGTGCAAATATTTAAATTGTAACGATGGTCATGGATTCATGGTGAGTCCATCTTACCATCACCAAACCATGGGCAAATTTACAGTAAACTAATTGAAGCCGCCATGTATCAGTTAACCAGAAAGAAAATAAAATAAAAAATACCGATAAAAGGAAAATACGCTACCTATTGTGTATTGACTTGAATCTAGTCAGGGTCTGCGTCCCTCGCAAGTCTTTCTTTTGACTGAATGCTTGCTTATAATTTATAACTTTCGAGACCAAATCACATTGTTGGTCCTTATAATTTGTACAATTTTCCACTTTAATCCTATAGTTTAAGTTTGTCAATTTTTTGTACCCTAATGTTGACTCCGTTAAAATTTAGTGCGTAAATGTAGATTTTCGGGTTCTTAGTGAATTTAAAACATCGCTTAGGTTTGACACATTTTCACGCAAGTCTTGAAGTATGAAAATTCTCCTGCGTACAAATCTAAAATTGCCAAAATTAAAGTTACGAAACTAAAATGTAAAAATGCCTCTAATGGTATCGCATAAATTAAAAAAGATACTTTAACTCCGTTTCAAATATGTATCAACTCGTATTCAATACAAACATACAAAAATACCACACTTTCTAGATCATAATAACTCATCGAATGACGCATTTCACTCAAAATACGGTCTAGTTCTTTTGTTCATTTGTCATCGTTCGTACGTCGTACGTAATACACATATTCGTACTGTAGAATAGAAAGATCAGTTCAAGTCATCAGAGTCTACATTTTTGACGTTAATGTCTCAAAGGTTATCTTGCCCTTTCATGTTTTTTTAAAATCGTATATAAACATTTGAAGATGCAATTTTCTTCTCTTTTTATTTTTGTTTTGTTTATATATACATATCAAACAAACAATATTAATATTATGTCTTTTTTTGTTGTGCGTATCGATTTCCAAGTTCCAAAATACGCAGGGGAGCTTTGGAACGTGGGTAGGAGCTGTCGTGGTCAAGGTGATTCATGGATATCGCATGCAACCGCCACGTGTCAATAAAAACAGCTGAGAACCATAACTCGAGGAACCTCTGAGATATCATCAGGCCATTCTCTTTTTGCATACACGCCTAAAGACGGTGCATCGGATCAGATCCCACGAGTTTCGCTGCATGAGCCCGTTGTACCAAAGATTTTCCCTCCTGTGCATGCATGGGCCTTCATGTGCATCCAAACGCCCTCGCCGAACAACGTCCCGCCAAACGCCGCCACGTGTCCGACCGTGCAACCTGAAAATAACGGCTGCCATGCTTCCCTTGTCGAGGCCTCCCGGCCAAAATGTCTGCCTCACCTGCGCTGCTGCGCATGTCATGTCTAGTTCTTATCACGCTCTATTTATTTGCTTTTTTTATTTCAATTTTCTAAATCTATACAATTGATTTGAATTAAAACACACTTTAAAACATTTTAAGTGGTAAAATATAATCGTAATTAGTAAAAAAATTGATAACTAGTTCAAATTAGATCGAGTCTCAAAACGAGGAATATCTAGACATTTGCTATCACCAGTTGCTTCTATGGAATTGAACAATAATTTTGCTTGCAATAGTACAGTTCAATAACTTCACTTTATTGCTATTGTATTGCATATAGTACCATATATAAGTTCTGTTACGTAGTTTTTCATTCTCCATTATGTATGACATGGAAGTTCTTATAATATCAAATTGGTCGTTTAAAACACCATTATGGATAAATTTTCAAATAAATCAAAATTATATTGTGAGAGGATAATGCTATGTTAACTAATTAATGGTGAAATGGGTTTTAAAACAGTGTTTAGGGTCGACTTTAGCACATAACTACTTCGAACATTCGGACACATCTGTGTCTATATACATCTCTTCCCAACCCAATCACTCTAAGATTCCTGTACATTTTAAAACATTTTTTATTTATTTTCAATTTAGCATATAGTTAAATTTACTCTGAAGACCCACTTCCAATTTGCAAATTCTGCCAATCGTATTCGACAATGCAGAACTAAAATGACAATCATACCCCCGCCCCCACCTCCAATCCACACTTCGTGCACATCTGGCGGCGCATCTATTAAAAAAAATAATAAATAAAAAATAAAAGGTTAAAAGAAAATGAAAAATACAAAGTTGTTTCAGTTATACGCCTCCAACTATTGAGAGTCTTGAGTATAACGGTTTTCTTTTCCAATTTTCCCAATTTCTTTTGTATTTTTCTTTTTCTTTTTTATATTGTTTTTGTTTGGGTTTGTTTTATAGCGCAAGCTACCAAAAATCTATGCACCGTATCTCATATCTTCCCCTATATATTGCCCCATTCTTCAGCTTATTTTTGGTTCAAACTCAAAACCCACCTCTCTCTCTCACTCTAATTTCCAAACCGAGACCCACTCTCTCTCTCTCTCTCCACTGTCCGCCATGAAAACAGACATTGAAAACCTCTGGGTTTTTGCCCTAGCCTCCAAATCATTCCGAGCCTTCTCTGCAGAAAGCATTGCATGCACGCTTCTGCTCGTAGCTCTAACATGCCTTGCCATGACCTTCATCTACTGGTCTCACCCTGGTGGCCCAGCTTGGGGTCGCAACTTCAAAAACATCATTCCATTGCTGCTAAAATCTTCAAAAACCAAGCCCATAATTCCCGGCCCCAGAGGCCTGCCTCTCATCGGCAGCATGGCCCTCATGACCTCCCTGGCCCACCGCAAAATCGCCGCCATGGCCCGCTCCTGCAACGCCAAACGCCTCATGGCCTTCTCCCTCGGCCAAACCAGAGTCGTCGTCACGTGCCACCCCGACGTGGCACGTGAGATTCTCAACAGCTCCGTCTTCGCCGACCGCCCCGTCAAAGAGTCCGCCTACAGCCTGATGTTCAACCGGGCCATCGGGTTCGCTCCGTACGGCGTCTACTGGCGCACCCTGCGTCGAATTTCCGCCGCCCATCTCTTCTCCCCCAAGCAAATCAAGAACTCCGAGGTCCAGCGGCGCGAGCTAGCTTCTCAAATGGTGGCAATGTTTGGGACCCACAAGGAGAAACTGGCCATTCGTGAAGTGGTCAAGAGGGCTTCGCTGAACAACATGATGTGCTCTGTTTTTGGGCGAAAATACGAGCTTGAATTTGGGGCCTCCATGAACAATGAGGTCGAAGAGCTCAAAGGGTTGGTCGATGAAGGGTACGACTTGTTGGGTATGTTAAATTGGTCCGATCATCTTCCTTGGTTGGCTGATTTTGATGGCCAAAAAATCCGGTTCAGATGCTCCAATCTCGTCCCCAGAGTGAACCGGTTCGTCTCCCGAATCATTTCTGAACACCGAACCGACGTCGAAGCCGGAAAAGACGAAAAGGTCCCTGACTTTGTTGACGTCTTGCTTTCGCTCCAAGGACCCGATAAATTGTCCGACTCCGATATGATTGCCGTCCTCTGGGTAAGCATTTAAATCAGTCTCTTGCTGTTACTCAGATTTTTAATAAAAATCTTCTTGTTAGTAATCAAAACGCTGTCGTTTTATATGTGCAGGAAATGATATTTAGAGGGACGGACACCGTGGCGGTTCTGATCGAGTGGATCATGGCGAGGATGGTTCTTCATCCTGATGTTCAATCGACGGTCCACGACGAGCTTGACAAAGTGGTTGGCAGGTCGCGAGCCGTCAACGAGTCTGATATCTCTGAGTTGGTGTATCTGACGGCTGTGGTGAAAGAGGTCCTGAGGCTGCACCCTCCTGGCCCACTTTTATCCTGGGCCCGCCTCGCCATCACTGATACAACAATTGATGGGTATCATGTGCCTTTAGGGACCACAGCCATGGTAAACATGTGGGCCATCTCGAGGGACTCGGAGGTCTGGGTGGACCCCCTAGAGTTCAAGCCCGACAGATTCGTGGCCCGTGATGGGGAGCTGGAGTTTTCGGTTTTCGGGTCGGATCTGAGGCTCGCGCCGTTCGGTTCGGGTAGGCGGACTTGCCCGGGGAAGGCTCTGGGGTTGACAACTGTCACGTACTGGGTAGCTTCGCTTTTACACGAGTATGAATGGCTACCGTTGGATGAGAATGCCGTGGACTTGTCTGAGGTGCTAAGGCTGTCGTGTGAGATGGCCAAGCCTTTGGTTGCTAAAGTGCGCCCGAGGCGCAGTAGGTTAAGCCCAGCGCAGCTCAGTGAAGTTTAATAGAAGTAGGGATTAAAAAAAAAAAAAAGGTTCGTGCAGGGGTTGGTTAATGGAATGGTTTGGTAAAAAAAAGCGTATACCCTTTTACTTTGTTGGTCATGTAATCTTGCCCTGTCCCTGTATCTTGTATGCCAAGGTATGGTTCAAACCAAACTAGCAATAATGGTTATGGTTAAAATTAATGTATGTATATGGTTAAAATTAATACAAGTTTTAGTTTCCTTAAACCTGCAGTTTCATGCACCTTAATTTGCAACCAGGAAGATGTCATAGGAGTTGATTAATTAACTAATCTTGTGATAAGCGCCGCAAATTCAAACCAAACTAGCAATAATGGATCATGGATATGTGAGGTATCTTCGAACGTTATAAGCCGGCCTCATATTATGTGAGAGAGTTCGAAGCGAATTAAAAACATTTTTCTTTTCAAATTGTTGTGGCAAATTAAAAATATTTTAAACAACAACTAATAGCAAAACTTGGTGTCTAGGGAACCATTTGTACGTAAATGATATTTCTCAATGATAGGACGTTAAATTTTGACCATTAATTCATTATCCGATTCATTAAAAAGATAATAGATTTAACTCTACACTTGTATATTTCTAAGCAACTCAAAACCATATGGTTAGAGGTTGAGGTCCTCGCCAGCCCCCATGGCACCCCGTTTGAACCCCAACGATGGTAATTGAGCCCCTCTCCTCTCCCATAATGAAGATCGTTGAATCTCCAAAAAAAATAAATGAAATCATGTGGTTAGAATATCGTTTGTATAAATAAATAAAAATATTGTTTTCATCCAATCATCACAGGCGGCTTCATTTCGGTATCGGATCTCCATCTGGGTTTCGGTGTCGGATCTCTACCGCCATATTTTTCGTGGTTTCTTTATGTTTGGAATAAGTCACAGAGACTCTTTGGGTTCTCTGTATAGTTTTCACCTCTCCTTTTGTGAGAGCTTTTCAACTCTCATTTTATGAGAACTTTTTTCATCTCTCCTTTGTGAGAGCTTTTCATATCTCATTTGTGAGAGTTTTATTTGTATTGTTATGATTTGGCTTTTTCAAGCTTTATCTCTTTTTAATTATTTTGAGTTTGCAATTTTAGTTGGGATGCTTATGCCGGAGTTTCTTTGATCCTGCGTGATTGTTAATAGAGGTGCACCAAACGGTCTTAATTTTAATGTTAGACCGCTTCGTTATTGTAATGACCATTTGTGGCTAGTTTGTATTGGTCTTTTGTGGCTAATAACTTTTTTGGCTGAATTATGAATGCAATCCTATAATTTCTACATTAAAAAAACTTAATTATCGTACGTCAAAAAGAACTTAAGCTTTTGTGACTAATGATTTTTTTGACTAAATTATGAATGCAATGCATGAAGGACTAGCTTGTTGAATATGTTATAGTCATATGACTTCTTCTCGTTAATGAGTCAATAGACTTAATACCATAATTAAATCACACAGTATTATTATTCAATGAATGATAATGACCCTTAATTTAATTTCTTTCAATGTTTAAAAAAAAGAAAAAAAAAAAAGAGAGGTGGGCAATCCCCTAGGCTATATGAATTTGTGTCCTTAATTGAAGTTGATTTTGTCCACCAGGACCACAACCCTTAAGCGATTTTGACCCCTTACAAATTGTCGATATGTATTTCAATTGGTGGACATTTATACACATATATGTATGAATGATATTCTAAATTATAAAGGGAGAAGGTTTCTTACATATGCATCATCAAGATATCATAGGAGTTTCAACTTGAGACCACTGATTTGATTTGCAAGTCAAGACCCTTTCCACTAGGCTAGATCCCATTGGCCACACACACACACACACACACACACACACACACACACACATATATACATAGAACTTCTATTGAAGGATCCCTCAAATAAGCTTATCAGAGGGACACTCTTGTAGGGCCTCCTCTGAATTGTATTTCACTAATCCAAACAATATATTTTGTAGATATTTATTCAAAGATCATCTCTACAAAAAATTACTTGAATCCGATATCATTTGATCACTTAATTAAATTATTGAAATGTTAGTACTTTTTTAAAGAATTGTGTTCATTTATTTTATAAGACACAATTAGATGTCTAAACAATTTCTGATTTGTCTAATTTTTTGCAAGGATGATCTATGAATGAAGACCTAAAAAATAGATAGTTTGGATCACTGAAAAAAAAAATTTGTATAATACCCTAAATGGCGCCTCTCAAATAAAATTATTTAAGAGATTCCCTTATATATATATATATATATATTAGTACATTTTGGTTTTCTTCCACATGCATGTGGAATTGTGACCTATTAATTAGTGTGACATGTTAGGACTCTCATGGGGTTAGAAATTAATCAGACCATATAGTCTATATAGACCAGATCGTACAGAGTACCAGACCTTGCTCTATCTCTACCACAAGCAGCAAGCTTTACCTGTTATGAGCAAACAATTTCTCTCCCTGGCCTGAAATTATATGTGCCCCTTGAAAATTAATGCATTTCGTGTCGTCATGAACGAGATTTGCTTTCGATCATAAATACAACCTTCAGCCCTCTATTGGAAGGAGACAAGTTGATTGTTCGCCTTTGTCTATGTTCATCAAAATCGTGATGTGTGGACTAGGGCCCACCCATGGTTGCTACACTCACACAACACTCCAAACCCCCTTGAATCTAATTGTTCCCACTTATTTGGAAAAAAACCATCAACACTTATTGGACTAAGGATAGTGAATGATGATCTATTATTGTGGAGATAAATTCTTAAGTGAGACTGCCTTACGCTGCGACCGAAAGTGAGATTCAAATACGAATTCCAATGTCGATTATGGACAACCCTACACTATGATGGTGCCTGGTTTGAGCAAACAATGCGGGGAGGTTTTGGATAGGTGATTCGGGACTTTATAGGTTGGATGGTGCTAGAGGGTGGTCAAGGAGATATGCTTTATGGGTCGGCTCTCATGGTAGAGATGGATGCTATAAGGGTAATTTTGTTTGCTTGTCAACAAGGGGGTTTCTCTCGGATGGTGGTGGAGTCTGATTCCTAAGTTGCCATCAAGATGGTGAGGGGGAGAGGGCAGTGGCTGTGGAGGTAGATAGTATTCTCTTCGACATCTAGATTGCGATTCAAGAATTCCAGGAAGTAATTTTTATTTTTACACCTCGCAGTTGCAACAAAACTGCTCATGAGGTTGCAACTTTTACGTGTAGGGTAGGTGGCAGTTACTAGTTGGATTTTGTACCTCCGGATTGATTGTTTAATACTCTGGAGATGCTAATATTTGTGTTCGCCTTTAATAAAAGAGTGGTGATTTCCCCACTCCTTTTTCTCCTATTTTATCCGCTTACACTCTTTTTTTTTTTTTGGTCTGAAGCTTACACTCTTTTTTTATAACTAAAAAAGGAGTGTAAGTGGATAAAATAGAAGTGGGGAAATAATTGCCCTAATAAAAGTATTCAATTCTTAGGAAAAAAAACAAGGACAGCTCTACACTAGACTCTCTCGAATTATGTAATAATTTAATGAGTGCTTTAATAAGAATATAGTAGTTGAATTGAATTCAACTACTGTAATTTGTCGGGCACATCGATGGTGAACAAATATCGCTCCCTTGAGTAATATCATACATGCATTTTCACACTTGACCTAGACCTTTAGACCTATCAATTTGGCATAATTTGAGCAACATAGTCCGGTTCATTACATATTAACATTTTTATATTAATAACAAGGTATTGACCTCGAGATTACTACCCTAATGTTATATTGAAATCAATCATGGACCGGGAGACTAATCAAAAGGCGTGGCCTAATGTGAAACGGACAAGTTTATTGATCACGTCAACTATGTGTCAAATTGATTTAATTAAGCCTGATTAATTAGTATTATTATTGAAAATGTGGCTAAACTAATACATTCTTTATTCATATAGAGCATCTGCTGCTGGACAGCCATAGGTTAAGCAAGCGTCACTAATAAATTGACTGCTAATTAATGTTGATAACTTATATGCAAAATGAAACTGGTCACTGTTACGCTGAAATTTCTTTGAAAATAGAATCTTAATAAAACAATTATTTTAATATAGCGGATTAATTGGTTTTCCTGCGTCAAACCATTCTACGGTCTTCACACACACACACACACAATATGTTGCTTGATACTTAAAATATCCCCATTAAAAAAGTTTTTAAGTTAATTAATTCACACATATCACAACTGCTAGCACTCAACCACATAGCTAAAAAGTTATATGCGCTGACAAATTTTTGTACGTGCCGGTTATATATGATAAATTTTTCTCGTTAGGTGCATGTATATTCTACCAATTATATACGACTCATTATATAACGATGAGATCGTACATATTGTGATAGAGTGAGGATATATGATCGGAGCATAAAAAAGTTTTGAGTATTTGATTATATTAGGGAATTTTAAAGGATTCAAAATAAATTATAATGTTCAAATTATTACAGCATTGATCCAAAAAGTGGGCGTCATGATATATGCTAGGCAAATGGAGCAAGATCTACCCCATATATAAAAAGATATCAATCATGCAGCTGTATGCTTTGATGCCAAAGATATGCCATCAACAGTTTGAGAAGCAATTCGCCTTCGCCTAATCAACCTAAATTTTAAAGCTGGTCGGGGGCCTTAAACCCAGGAAAATGTCGAGAGCAAAAGAAAATTAAACAGTGACACCTTACGTTTGCGATGATGTCGTTCATTTGGCTCATGCAATTAAGACAGTTGATGAGAACATATAGAGCCAACGACCATGATCTATCAAACAGTGTTTTGGAGCCTTTCTTTTCCACATAAATTGATAAGGACCACCCTATCCACTGCATTAACTAATTATAATCAACAGATAATTAGGCTAATTAATTGGTTTAAGCATAGCCGCAAGAATCTCCCACTAATGTTTGCTTTGAATTCCCAGACAGAGATATTGACTGGAAAAGAAAGATAAACATATGAAACAAAATGGCTTGGGTTGTACGAAAACAAAAACACAAAACAACTTGGATGCCTTCTAAGTTTGGATGAGGAAGAACAATCATATGTGCAAATTAAATAAAATGCGTGTGATGTGTTTTCTTGGCTTAATTCATGTTTTAATCCAATAACTGTTTTGGATGGGATGGGATGGAAGGATGCTTGTTTGACTTGTCACTTCTTCTGGGTACTTATAAATTACCATTCCTTAATCAAATAATTAATGCCCCACTTGCCAATAATTGAGAGATAAAACAGAAAAGAACGTAGGTTTATGTGCATATTATTATGTCGAAATTTTAATTTATAAGCTAATAGGTTGGGTTTAAATTAATCATTGTTGTTAATTAGTTTTGGATTTTTAGGGTGAGTATGGACCGCCTTTAGGTAGATGAGAATATGTGTGTTCCAGCCCAATTGAGATGCTTGTGATATAATCTCGCAAGTGCTTTTTGGTGTGTCGCTTTATCCCATACTCAAATAGAAAGTTTATATCAAAAGGAAGGACAAAACTTGTGTCACGAGGATTTTCCAAATAATTTAAACTTCGCTTTCTGTTAAAATCAAATCAACTCATAATGCACATGATTAGTTGCATGAGGTTCAAAACAATGGATAATAAATATGTGATGATCCTCCTCATGTGCTTTGCAAAGCAATGCGTAAGACAAATGTAAAGGGTAGTACTAGTACTAGCATGCATGTGATTAATTTGATCTATGAGCTGAATTATGATTAGGACTTGTGATCAGTACCTAAATCAATCGATAATCTGTACGAACTAATATAATTCTTGCGTAATTATTGAGTACGGCACCGGTTTGGATTTATGGTTGAGAGGCTTTAGTCACTAACCGCCATGCTAATTAGGATGCAGGACAATGTTAGACGCGGTGGCGAATAATTTGTTGGCTAATTGCTCAGTTGGTGAACTTGCTTATTCATGATATCAAATCCACCCTGATCATGAAGCATATCCAACAAATCTTGCATACAAATCATACGGAAAAGTGCTTGGAATTTTCCAGTGTTGGCGTTGTACAATTTGAACAGAAAGATTCTACTCTTCTCCATTGATTTGATAATATATGGCTGGGCTGTCTTATTGCGATGGTGAAGGTTGATAGATAAGCATGTTTTTTAGTTTTACGAATATAATCATTCAATCATGCTTTAGATCGAGTCTTTTTTTTAAAACAGTGAGCACTAATTAAAATCTTTTCTGAGAAAAAGAAAAATCTTTGTTCTCTGTTACTATACACACAAAATATCCCTGGCATTGTTAAAGGCATGATATGCCAACCAACTAGCTCTGAGCTAGTGATAACTCTACTCTCAAGTTCGAATCCCTCTCCCACGACTCACGACTGATTAAAAATAAAAAGGCAGAATCTGTTAAAATTTATTTGAACAAGAACTTCCCATATAAGAGGCATCCAAGCCACCTATGCCATAAATCCCACTATGGTAAGACAAATGTGTAGTGAATTTGCTTTATGTAATCTTTCAACTCTGATAAGCCCATTTTCTATTTATTTTTGTTTTTAATTGGTACACAACCAAGGGCTGCTGAGGCCCAAAGCCCTAAAGAAAATTTAGGACTGGAAATTCCCTAACAGTCTGAAAGCCCATAAATGTTCAGTTCATCAGCAGTAGATAACACTATTTCTCTTTTCTTGGTAAGAAGCAAAACAATTCCAAGATCCAAGGCCCTTTTTCTTTTCTTGGTTGAGTCCAAGATCCAATACTTTAGCGAATGAGAGGTTATACATTCCAGATATAACTCAAATCTTGAGTTCTGATTTTATGGTTGTTTCCATGTGGTTGCAAAGATCAGAGATGGAAGGCAAAAGGAGAGGTAAAATTAGAATTACCAAGGCCATTTAACATTTTTATTAGTACTTTGGCTATTTTACCATAGCCTTGCTATCTAAGAATAGCAAAAAAAAAAAAAAAAAAATTTGAGGGAAAAAACAGTACCAGAAATTTAAACTGTGGACACAAGAACAAGAATGAGGCAAATTATTCCATTAACCCAAATGACCACACCTAAGATCTATTTGTTTAATCAAAGTATAGGAAACAACTAAATTAAAGGTGAAGAGGTAAATGCTTTTACAAAGGTCACCGCAATAGGATGAAGCAATGCTTTGGCAAGTCGATAAATTCCAAGCACACACAAGAAATACAGATATGTAAAAAGGGCAGTACAACATATTCAAAAAAGAAAAGTAATAACTTAAATTCCATTATTACCACTTGAGTGATAGAATGTCTACGTCTCAGTTTAAAGTTCCATACGGATGGATGATTGAACTACTTCTTCTTCCCGTAGTATTGCAGAGCAAATGCAGCCCCCAAGATCAACAAGGGCAGCAGAAACTGTAAAAGCTTTACCACAAATCCAGAAGATTGCCCAGATGGAGGAGTTGTTTGAGCAGGAAGCTTGTAATTTGGCTGTTCTGGTATGGTGGATGTGTCAACCTTGCCTACATAAAAATTTTCCATCTGCTCCTTCGCAGAATCACTGTGGCCCACATCATTAAAATCATCTGTTGCATCTTTCTCTGCAAGATGTTCAACCAAAGTTCTATTCACCGCACATAATGTTCTCCTACTCTAGAACCAGTAACAATCACAAAGATAAAAGATAGATTGCTAAGCTGAAGTGCACAATCTTACCGACTGCTAATAGCAACACTTCATCGCCCCCAGGGTGATCCTCCAAAAAAGGGGTGACATCATAAACCTGTGGAAAATTGTTCAAGATACATTAGTCAGCAATGCTGCTAAATAAATGTGGTAGATGAACGGATCTGAGTACAAAAGGAACCATTTAAGTTACCAGATAGAAGACTTTACTAAAATATCTGTCGAATTTGTGTAGGATCAACAGAGCAATAAAGAGAGGGACCTTATAGGTAGGAAGCAAATTAATAGGCTTATATAACATAGGTCAGTAGATTCACTACCAGGAACAGGTTTTCTTATCCTTTTATAATCTTTTTTTGGTGTAAAACAAATTTAGGAAAGAGAGCAGAGAAATTCAACAGAAATCCCAACGACCTGCGTTACTGTTCTCGGAATACAATTGTGATGGCAGATACTATTTTATTTCATTGTTCTGCAGTCGTGAAAGTTGCTTTGTAGTGTAACAATTATTTATATACCGTTGGAGATTACAATTGTCTGCTTTAATTAGCGAGTCAATGGTTATTTCAAATAGAAAAAACCTTCATAATTAAACGCCTTAAGTCCAACTACTTTCCCTAATGGCACATTGAGCACCATGCTAAAGTAAACAACATATTTCAACACTTGCTTAGTCTCCACTACCTTAGGACCAGCAGACATAGAGAGACCCCAATTAACAAACTTAAGCACTTTTCAAAATGTTTCGTGTTCATAAGTCGAAGAAACTAATTGATTCTGCATTTATCTGTGGTCATGCATTGAATATGTCTATCACACACAACACTTAATCGGTACAAATTAGTATTGTAGCCCTTCTCCTCCATTCCATCCTACTTATGTTGCCGATGATTAAATTATATTAACACCAAAAAACAGAGCAACAATCATACACACACAAACTACACAGAAAACGCAAGGTGCAACTCAATCCTTCAAACAACATTACCATTTAACAACCTATGATTAAAGTTAAACCTATCAAACATAACAGCATATTGCAAGTGTTCAGCAGCAGGCATCCTTTGCACTGATATGTTAATTCACTATAGCTTTTAAAGATATGTGTTCCCTTTTCCTCCCTCCTTTTTGTTTCAATTCCCCTTTACACTTTCAATTAGATCTATAAACTCCTCTACTCAATGCTAAAGTAACTCTCACACATAGCAAAACGGGTGGCAGCAAAAGACTTTGCCTTTAACCAACAGATAAATCATAAATCATATATCACAAATCACAAATCAACCCAGAAACTGAATTAATTCAGATACATACACAGGTATTAATACATTTACAATAAAATGAGAATCAAAGGGGAAAAGAAAACAAAGAAAAAGACTACAAATCTGACCTTTCCAGAGATTATGATCCAGCAATCTTTCTTGTGGTTGTGCTTGGCCACCTCATCGAAATGATAAACTTGAGAATCTGAAGCCATTCCTGCAGCTGCCTCTGTTCATCACAAAGTCAAACCCCATCAACACCAAACCAAAAAATGGTGAAAACCCAACAAAAATAATTAAAAAGACAGAAACTTTAAAGCTAGATTTGATCCATAAGTTACCAAAGTAAAAAGCTTGATGAGGAAATCAACAAAAAAGTGATAGAGAAGTCATGCTTCTTTTCTTACATAGGAGAGAAGAAGAAGAAGATGTTGGGCTTCGAAGCACAGCTCCTCTTTGAGTTGAGTAACTTGTCTTACTCTTGACCTGTCCTCAATATGCTGACCTTTTATTATATGAGTAGCTAGTTGAGTAACTATATATAATATTTTCTGTACCTAAAAAAAAACTATATATAATATTTTGCCTCAACCCAGATTTATACTTAGTATTAAATTGACCCACCAACCAAGTTCTTTAATTTACTCTCTAATTCCCTGTGTTGTTGTATTGCTACTGTCAAACTTTCACACCCCTCTCTCTCTGTCTCTCTCCTTGGTCCAAGTTGGCTCCTAATTTTAAAATGTTTTTTTTCCCAAACTTTTTCATATCATTCAATAAAATACACTCATGGAGTTATTTTCCTTGCAATATAGATTAATCAGCTGTTTGTCCACCACAGGCATAATTCTTTGATTTTAGCATAAATTTAGTGTG